TCATATTGCTACAGAGAAGGAACATTGTTGCACATAAGTCTTAGTACAAAATTTTGTTTCTTTAGGAAATTGATGTGTCAAACTAAAAAAAGAAGAGGTAGTAAAAGCATGGTCTACACTTGTATAATGTGCTCAAAAATGGCTTTTCACCGCTTGAGATCTGAGGCAGTATTATCGAAATCCTGGAGTTATTTCTGTCACTTGCTGGCCTCAACATTGAACATTCTTTAGAATTGCCTAAGGGGTTTTTCATTTCATATTGCTTGGTCTCACAATCAACATCAATGGAAGCAGAAGTTAAGAAATCAGAGAACGTATTGCATTGGGAAAGTCTACTGCAAATGACCTCTTTAAAGAGCTGAAGAGCAAAGATGTCTCCTTGAAGACTAAGGTACACCCAACACAAGCCATGGTGTTTCCAATTACCTCATGTGAGAGCTAGACAATGAATAAAGAAGACTGAAGAAGAGTTGATGCTTTTGAGTTGTGGTGTTGGCAAAGAATACTGAAAGTACCATGGACTGCCAAAAGAACTAACAAATCTGTCCTGGAAGAAGTATAGGCAGAATGCTCTTTGGAAGTGAGAATGCTCTGACCTATTTTGGTCATGCTATCAGAAGAGACTGGCCATTCCCTGAAGAAGGATATCAGGCTTGGTAAAGTGGAGGGTCAACAAAAAAGGGGAAGGCCCTCAACAAGATGGCTTGACACAGTGGCTGCAATGAAGGACTCAGGTATAGTAGGAATTGTGAGGCTGGCACAGGACCAGGCAGTGTTTCATTCTGTTGTACATAAGGTCGCTATGAGTCAGAGCCAACTTGATGGCACCTAACAGCAAGGAGTTTTTTTAAAAAGTCCTGAGGCTTGACCTGTGATAAAGTCCAGGTCTCAGTAGTTTTCAAAACACCCAAGAGGAGCACTGCTGATATAATGGACAGAGCAGCAAGTCTTAAGTCAAACTGACCTAGAACCAGATATGGACTTTGGTACTTCCTCAGGATTTAACATTGGACACATTTTTTAACTACTCTGAGACTTGATTTTCTTTTTGATGAAAAAAATATGATTAATGTAATGCCTGTACTTGGTGCAGTTGAGAGCATGGGAAATAATGTAAACTTTCCAGCAGAATTCCTCATAAAATGCTCATTAAATGATAGATACTTGCCTTTATTCAAGCAAAACAAAAATAAAGCAAGCCAAAAATATGATGGAAACTCCATATGTACTTGGATAAGTTTTATGGCTAATGAAAATGTTGAGGTTTTAGCTTTTGGCTAAATTATATCATCTTGGTGCAGTATCTTTGGTTATCTCTTGTTGCTCAGAATTTCTGATTGGAAATTATATAGGACTTTGATTAATAAGAAGAGAAAAATCAAGTATTACTTAATCATTGTGTCCTGCTTGATGGACAACAGCAACAGCAAACATCATCCAGAAATGGAGCCTAAGGAAAATAATTCTAAATCAGTAGAGTGAATTCATGATGAAGAAAATGCTAAAAATTGTTACCATGGAATTTTCCCATTTTATAGTTGAAAAGGGTATGAGGTGCTTTAACTCTATAAAGACTTTTGGGACATATCTGTTTCCATGTGGAATTGTGCAAATCGTTGTCTCATGGATGCAATTGATAGTTCTGGTATTTATTTTAGCCAACCGAGTGTCATAGACTTTAATCACATCATTCCTATGATAGATAGGAAGCTAGTCTATAAGAAGTCTCCCAGCATGAAAAATATCACAGGTTGACCTATAACCCTCTAGTTGTAAAAACCTCTTGCATGTAAGAGAAAATACAGGTAAAGAGAAAGCTTCACTCAGCTTTTATCATAGTAAGGAAGGAAATTTCCTGTTTTAATAAAAGCAAAGTGTTTGTACTAGTAGCAAATAATGTAGAAGTTAAGAACAGAGCTCCTGAAGCCAGGCTGCTGGGGTTCAAATCTCAGTTCTGTCTCTTATCACCTATGTGACTATGGGGACGTTCTTTAGCTCCTCTCTGCCTCAGCTTCCCCACATACAGAGTAGAGATATTTGTACATATCTCAAAGGGATATTGTGAGGATTAAATGAGTTAGCATGTTATTTATACCAGTACTTGGTATATAGTAAGGAATGATTTAATTTGAACACTTTATTTTCAAGATGGATGAATTTAGGCAATATGACTTGGACAAGAACAAATGATAGCGCTAGTTAGAACCCGACTGAGTTGTTTGTGAAATATTTCTAACAAGCTGTGAGGTGTGATTTCTAGTCCAGTTTGCTGTCCGCTACACCATGTGGCTTCCCTGAATATGGCAGTTGTGCTGTGGTGGAAAGAGTATTGGGCTGGGATGTGGCCCACCTTCTATGTCAGAAATGTACCTGATTATATTAGGTCTTCCCCAGGACTACTATGAGGACCTGCAGGCCCATTCAGTTCTGTGGAAGGAGCTGAGGTGTCAGAATGGTCTACCCAGGGAGCACCACTAACAGTCCAGACCGTATCCAAGACTCAGAGCCCATCTCTTTACCATTCCCTAAAAGAACAAGTACAAATATGGGATTCACTCATAGAGAGCAAGGCAGTATTTCCATAATGTTGATAGCAAGGGGAGCAATTATGACAGGTTATTTTTGGTTGTCCTCAAATCCATAGGAAACAGTTTATCCAAAAAGAAAGACAAAAAATTAGTGATAAATCAGTGATCTGGTATATACATGAGGGGAAAATACAGATACACCCAGAAGTCCTGAAGACAGCTTGTACTGTCTTCGTGGAGGGTGACTTTAGTGAAGAAACAATACTGATTATTTATTTATTTATTTTTCCCACCTGCAAGTAGATAAAAGAAAAGCCACATGTTATTGTGTGAAAAATATGGGCTTTGGATTCAAAGAAAACTGGCTTCAAATCATGACTGTTATTTACAAAACAGTGACCTTGAGCAGGTAACTGAATCTCTCTATTCTGTAAGCTGTGAACTACAACAATACAGGCATACCTCATTTTACTGCACTTCAATTTATTGCACTTCCCAGAGATTGTGTTTTCTACAAATTGAAGGTTTGTGGCAACCCTGCATCAAGCAAGCCTATCAGTGCAATTTTTCCAACAGCATTTGCTCAATTCGTGTCTCTCTCTGTGTCACATTTGGTAATTCTCATAATATTTCAAACTTTTTCATAATGCTGTTACACACTCAAGAAGACTACAGTATAGTATAAATATAACTTTTATATGCACTGGGAAACCAAAAAAAAAATCATGTGATTAGCTTTATTGTGATGTCTGCTTTATTGTGATGGTCTGGAACTGAACCCATAGTATCTCCAAGGTGTGCCTCTATTCACTTTGAAAGGCTCTTGGAGGATGAATGAGATTGAGTATCTAAGTTGCCTGGTGCACAGTAGGAGCTCACTGAGTCCCTATTCCTTCCACATCTAACTCTCTACAGAGAATTAAGATTAGAGCTAATTGTTAGTGCTTATTTTGTGGCATCTACTATTTCTAAGGGAGCTCTGGTAGCATAGTGGCTAAGGCACTTGACTGCTAACCAGAAGGCTGGTGGTTCAAACCCACCAGCCACTCCTTGGAAGGAAGATGGGGCAATCTACTTCTGTAGTGATACTGCCTCAGAAACCCAAGGAGGGGTCGCTATGAGTCGGATCTGACTCGACGGCATATAACAACAACAACAACAACAACTATTTCTAAAGTAGAGCTACCAGCAGAAGATACCAATGCTGTTGAGCACTTGCACAAACTGAGCAATCATCTACTCCACACAACATCAACTCTAGGAGATAGGGCACTATAACGTTTACAGATGAGGAAATTATGGCACAGAGAGTGCAAGAAGTAGCCTGATGTCACATAGGTACTAAATACCGGATTCAGGATTCAAACTCAGGCATTCTGAGTCCAGAGTCCATGCACTTAACCCTTCCACCACACAGCCTCTCTGGTGTTAGTGGTGCTTTCATGGGCTTATTGTGAAGATCAGTAAAGATGATGCTTCTGAAATACTCCTATAGGGCTGAGCACAGTACAAATCATGTTAGACATTGTTTCATTGCTGCTGTAATGTAGGAAACCAAATGAATCTGAACCTGGCTTTGAAAAAGCAGTAACCATTGCACTTTCAATTGGTTTGGCTCCTCTTGGAGCCAGTGCCCCAAAGAAGATGTCATAACCACTATCTCAGAGAAAGAATTAGGAAATGGAATTGGACAACCATTATAACCAACACTGAATTTCATAGTTCACTTTGCCATATTGTTGGACTTATAGTTAGATTTTATAAAATTTAAATATATATGGACAACAGTAGAGTTTTAATATCTTTTAAGTTTATTGTTCTTACATATGAAAAAGGAAAGTACAGAATTCAAGTAGAAAAGATGGTGGCTTTAGGGAGTATAAAATGGAAGGCTTTAAGGAAGTCATCTGGTTAAGGAACACACTAAGCGGCGTGGCAGAAGTCCCAGGGTGGTGAAAATGGTAAAGTGCTCTGTTGCAAATTAAAAGGTCGGAGATTTGAGTCTACTCAGAGGTGTCTTGGAAGAAAGGCCTGATGATCTATTTCCAAAAAAAAATGAGAAAGTAAAAATCCTATGGAGCACTCTAACACAGATGATGTCACCATGAGTTGGAATCAATGCAACGGCAACTGGTAACTGGTAAAGGGACATGACTAAAAGCTTCACGCTGCTATCCTCAGTGTGTTTATTTGGGTTGGGTTGGAGAAGCTGGTGGAGAGTATGAAAAAAAAAATAGTAATAAAGCTTCCATGGGCCATCCCTTGGCCCTGCCCCTGGGTAGTGGCAGAATTTTTGGTTATTGTTAAAATTTGTCCAGTGGTTTCAGTTTGCCAGTAATAACATGATAAAAAAATTACACATGGGAACTGAAATAACCCAAATCCAGAAAGAAAATCCAGTTATATCCTTAGCAGAAAGTTTTAGAGACTACAAAAGATGAAGAAAAGCTGGCCCCTTTGCACCACCATCCATCACAAAGTCTTTCCATCACCACAGACTGCTGTTCTTCTGAGCAGACAGAACACAATGATAGCCAAGTAGACTATACTCTTGAGAAGGAGTAGCAGGTAGGTGTAATATGCAGAGGTGTTCGTGAATTGCAGCTGCAGGACATCTAAGAGAAATTGTTTGATTAGTTTCTTCTGTTCTTTTGAAAGGATAGGACATATTAATAGGGCGTGGGGGGTCACAAATATTTACTTCTGATAATCAATATTGATGTGACACCACACACCCATGAAAACTCAAAAGTAAATACCACCATCAATAACAATACAACTCAGAATTCAGCTTGAAGGTATAGTTAAAACAAACCCTGCTGACATGCACTTGGGACACTCCTAGGTATTAAAGGCTGCATTTTTAATGAATAAGCCCAATGAGAAAATATATTTTTCATAAATAGCTTTTATCGTTGTTGTTGTTATGTGCCGTCGAGTTGGACCCTACTCATAACAACCCCTCCTTGTCATAACTAGCTTTTATTGTTGTTGTTGTTGTTATGTGCCGTCGAGTCGGACCCGACTCATAGCAACCCCTCCTTGGCTTTCCGAGTCAGTATCACTATGGAAGTAGATTGCCCCATCTTCCATTTTTTTTTATCCCCATCATGTCTATAAGCAATAATCATAGATGATGTTAGTTGAATGCTAACCAAGTGGCAGATTCTATGACGTAAACCTATTTAGTCTTGCTTAATCTTGATAACAACCTGTGAAGAGAACATTATTTCTATTTCCCTTTTACAAATAAATTTAGGACAGAGGGAGAAGTAATTGGCCTGATGTCATGCAACTAGCAAGTGCCAGAGCCCACATTTCAACCTCAGCAGCACAACTTTTGGAAACAGGCTTTTAGCTCCTCTGTAATTGTACATCTCCATGTGGGATAAACACTCCAGATATCACAGGTTTTAAACAGAAATGCAAAGTTGAAATTTTTTTAATCATATCTGAATCCAATTTTAATTGTTCAGGAATTCAAAATATAGAATATTAAGTATATTTATTTATATTTAAAGCCAATGTAGAATTTTTTTAAAAAAATTTATTTTAAGAGTTTGTTTTACATTCATAAAGTTGAATTGTTGATGTAGAAGCATCTGAGCCATTACACATTGTGTATGAAGTGTGATCTCTATGAAGGATACAATACATGGAAATTTGGTGGTGTTGGTAGTGACATGCTTTAGTAAAAATTTACTAAAATTTTTACTAAAAAAGGGCATTATAGAAAATGGAGGAAAGTAAGTAATCCAAAATTTCCAAATCTGTGGAATGCCAAGGTTTACTAATCTGTCTTTGCTAAATGTCTCTCATGTCTTTCTTAAATGTTACAAGCAAGTGCACTTAATGGCCTTTGAAGTTTTGTAAGAAATTAGCAATGTCAAGAAATAATTAACGGCAATGGTAGTGGGCCACACTGGCTATTCAACGAGCCACAAGGCTGAGCCACTTCCTATGGAAACTTCCATTTTACATGTTCTGTCGTCAGAGTCAGAACTCCAGAATCAATAGCACTTGGTGTGGAAAGGGATCTCAAGAGGTGATGTGTTCATAATGCTCTCGGTCTCAGTCAGGTAAGGTGTTAGTGTCTCTCCTTGCTTGGTGTGGTAGATGAGGTCCAGGGGCCCCTTGTATTGAAAATGAGGAAAGACTAGCAGAACTAGAGCCAATGCTTCTAGCAACGTTCTTTGTACATGTGCAGAAAGGTCTTGAAACAAGTTATTTATTCTTTGCCAGGTAAATGAGATACTTTCTACTAGGCATTACACATATATTGTCTTATTTCTTCAATGACTATGAGTTACATGTAATTATTCCACGTTTGTAGAGGAGACAGTATTACTCAGGAAAAAAAAAAAAAAAAGAGAAATTTATCCATATGAATGCAAGAAATAATTTAAAAAACATGATTAAAGTCCAGTTTGCAGTACTCTGAAGACCATGCACCCATCCCCTACTAGGTCTCCACCACACCTTAGGACCTTGGATTGGCATTTCTTATTCCATGACTATTTGATGAGAGGAATAAAGAACTGAGTTAAGCATATGAACTCTTGATTCAGATGGCCTGGGTTTAAACCCCAAATCTACCACACTGTGCTGTGGTATAAGCAACTTCATTTCAGCTCATTGCCCTCATCAATAAAATGGGGAAAAATACAATACCAACTCATAGGGGCATCAAAAAACAAAACAAAAACAAACAAACAAACAAAAACTCACTGCCATTGAGTCATTTCCGACTCATAGCCATCCCTCCTTGGGTTTCCAAGTTGGTATCTCTAAGGAAGTAGATTGCCCATTCTTCCTTCCGAAGAGTGGCTGGTTCAAGCCACCAGCCTTCTGCTTAGCAGTCAAATGCTTTAGACACTACGCCGCCAGAGAAAGAACCAAAGGTGAAAGAAAATCTAGAGGAAACTTTTTACTAGGTTCTCCCCTGTCATTAGAAATAAAAGCCTCATGGGTGAGTGAACCATGTGTTGAAATAGTTCTGAGCATATCTAATTTACAATCCATCTCATACTTTAACTTATAGTCAATCTCATACCAAACCCAGCGGTTTACTGCGTTAAGATGACTACCAAGAATGTGGACTTAAACTACCACTCAGTCTCTTCTGCAGCATCCAGCCATTCTGATTTTTCTACCTTAAGCCAGAGAAATTCAAATGTTACGTTGATCAAGAAGGACAATGTACATAACCTATAGGTAAACAAATGCAAAAACTTACCACTTTCATCTTTCCAACAAGTTTTTGTAGCATCAGGAGGAATAAAGGCTAGAAAAATGAGAGCAAGTATTAATCAATTGGTCATGCTCATTATGTATCTGTGTGTGTGTGTATGTGTGAGTATAAAAGCCAAAAAAACCACTGCTATTGAGTCCAGTCAGACTCATAGCGACTCCCATTGGGTTTTCAAGTTGGTAAATCCTTACAGAAGTAGATTGCCTCATCTTCCTTCCATGGAGCAGCTGGTGGGTTTGAACTGCCAATCTTCTAGTTACCAGTCAAATGCCTTAGGTACTGTACCACCAGAGCTCCTATACATACATACATACATATATATACACACACATATATATAAGTACATATATATATATATACACACACACACACATGCATATATATATATAAACTATACATAGTCTTCTGACAGAGAGACAGCCATTAAAAAATGAAGCCTTAAAATTCTAAGAATAACTGGCATGATCCAATGCAATTTAGCAGGTTCAATTCATGCAATGTGTCTCTGCACGTGAGGGTTCCTAACTGAGCACAGGAAAGTGGCCATACCTTTCCAACCAGAAAAAGCCTGGGATTTTTTCCCTATAAATATCAATATACCCATTTCATGCCAATGATTTTCTAGAATTGTGTTTGTGAAAATAACAAAATGGTATTTTAAATACTAACACATATTGAGTAATTATTGGTGCGCCTGGCACTAGGTTCAATACTTCACGTGTGCTTTACCTTGTAGAACCCCCAACAACACTCTGAATGAAGTTAAAATACGGATAACCTCATTTTACAAATGAGGCTATAAGGCTTAGAGTATAAGTAACTTCCTGAAAGTCATACACATGAGGGACAGAGCCAGTATTCAAAAGGTAATTGTGGAGGATTAAATAAGATAAGGCATTTGGAGAGTACTTTGTAAAAATAATCTGTAGAAATATAGAAAATAATCTATAAAAACGCAACCTAGTTCCACCATTGAGAACACTAGGAAAATCTTCTCTTTTAGATATCTTAATCATTCTCTGAAATGAACTTTTTGCAGGAGCTCAGCATGTTCAGTACAAGTTTTCGTGGTTACAGAAGGATTGGTTAAGTCACATTTATAATTCTCCAGAAATGTATAAGTTGAGGTGAGAACTGGTTTTACCTATAATGTAAAACCTATCAGCCACTCCTCGAGGGCAATCTACTTCCATAGTGATGTTATTGTTATGTGCTGTGTAGTTGGACCTGACTCATAGTGACCCCTCCTTGGGTTTCCGAGGCAGTATTACTACGCAAGTAGGTTACCCAACTTCCTTTCGAGGAGTGACTGGTGGGTTTGTACTGCCAGCCTCCTGGTTAGCAGTCAACTGTCTTAGGCCCTATGCTACCAGAGCTCCTATCCCTCCTCGGAAACCCAAGGAGGGGTCATTATGAGTTGGGTACGTCTCTATGGCAGTACGTATAATGTAAAAAAAGAAAAAAAGGAAAGAAAAGAACAAACATACAAAAACAAACATTTTTATGAAGAGAATTGCTTGGATTGGGGAAGTAGTTACATTGCTAGTTTCAATTTATCATTTTTTACTGTATATGTTTTTGTCCACATGGAAATTATCCTGGTATGCAATTTTATGTATTTGACAAAATCTGATTTGGTATGTCCTAATAAATGGGTTCGAGCTAAAGGCTTTAGGTCAAATCCCAAGGAAGGAAGTGTTAATATAAATAAATATATTTAGATGTTAAAATACCTTCATCAACTGACTTAAATGTGTCCTGAAAATCTCATTCTTTTCCTTACAATGATTTGTTAAAACATGAGCAAAAATCTCTATCACCATGCATTGATTGAGGTAAAAACAGTAAAGTGACAATTGCTCATAATGAAATCTTTACATGCATCCTAAATTCTCTCTCAATTATTGTTGATCATAAACTTGGACTAGATTAGTTTTATCTCTCCTCAGAATCATATTGTTGATTTGGGCTTCCATGTTTCAAGAAACAGTATTAGAGACTTGTTATATTATGGAAGACCTTGGTGGTATAATGGTGAAAGCATCTGGCTGATAACCAAAAGATTGGCAGTTTGAACCCACAAGCTGCTCTGAGAGAGAAAGATAAGGCAGTCTGCTTCCATAACGATTTGTAGCCCTTTGTTTGCAGGGCATTGAGTTTATGACAATGGTGATGGAATATTTTAGAAAAAGATAGCAATAATAGTGGCACAACATGAAAAACTTCATCAATGTCCCTGAGCTGTAAATGTGGAAGTTGTTATGTGTGAATGTCTTGTTGTGTATGTTTTCACAATAAAAGTAAAAAAGAAAAAAAAAAAAAAAGATTTATAGTCTTGGAAATCCTATGGGGCAGTTCTATTCTGTCCTAAAAGGGTCACTATGACTCAGAATCAATGAGATGGCAATGGTTTTTGGGTGATGCAAATGGTTAATGTTCTCAGTTGCCAACAGAAAAGTTGGAGGTTAGAGTCCACCCAGGGGCACCTGGTGATCTACTCTTACACACATGGACTCCTCATGAGTTGGAATCAACCCAGCAGCAACTGGTGTAGAAACATAAACTGAAACATCGCTCCTTTCTGATCATCATCATCACTTAGACACAGTGGTTATATTAACTTTGTAGTTGCATATTTGTTTCCTCTCTGTTTGTTAGCAATGGAAGTAGGAAATGAGAGCTACATTTTTATAATCTTAGAGGAACTGTAAGGAGCATAGTGGATAAGGCATTTGACTGCTAACGAAGGTTGGCAGTTCAAGTCCACCACCTGCTCTGCAAGGGAGAAAGATGAGGCAGTCTGCTTCCATAAAGATTTACAGCCTTTGAAAGTCTATGGGCAATTCTACCTTGTCCTGTAGGGTCTCTATGAGATGGAATTGACTCCATAGCAATGGCTTTATTTGTTTATAATCCTACATTAGCACATTTTTAAAGGAAAGGACGTAAATAAATACAAGAAATATATTGATAAATATTTCCTTGTTATGTTTTTGAAAGCAGCATTTTCATAGATATTATTTCATTGGCTCTTCATCCCAACCCCATGAGTTGTGATGAACACTTAACCAAATCCAGTGTTAAAGCCTCATTTGACTATTGGAGAAACAAAGAATCTGAGAAGATAGAGACTTAAGAAGTTAGGACTGCTACACAGCAAGGGGCTTTGCCTTTTAGTTATTGTTTGGTCCACACTGCCTGAAAAGGCCTTGAAAAGCACAAAACTATTCCTTCTCTGCACTCTGGTGCTTGAGAACTTTAATGCATAGTGAATTACTGGACCACTGCTGGGACCAGGATACACTTAGCCCTATCTATACCCACACTATCTAAATATGTATGTCATCTGCATCAAAATTACTTCTTTGGAACATCATAACTGAATCAGGTGTAAGGAAAAGAGTATCTCTTTCTTTTCTTGCAGTGCATCCTCCTTAAGACATTAGTTCATCCTAGTCTATTGATCTATAGATAACCTTTGGGGCTCCCATACATGAGTTGCATAAGAAATGTCTGTTGAACTGCATTTATCAGTGGAAAAAAATATACTCAATATGTAGAGTATAAGTTTGTATATGTTATTGTTTCTGTTAGTTGCCATTGAGTCATTTCCAACACCTGACAGTCCCACGTGTGCTGACTAGAACTGTTCCAAAGAGCATTCAACGCTGAGATCTTTCAGAAGCAGGAGCACCAGGTCTGTCTTTCAAGGTGCCTCTGGGTGAGTTTGAACCACCAATCTTTTTGGTTCGTAGTCAGGCACTTACCCATTTGTGCCACTAAGGCTCCTAACAGCACCCAATCTTTAATTATGAAATTTTGCCTTACTGTATGTAGTATAGGAGCTCTGGTGGCATAGTGTCTAAGGCATTTGACTGCTAACCAAAAGGTTGGCAGTTCAAACCCACCAGCCACTCCTTGGAAGGAAGGTTGGGCAATCTACTTCTGTAGTGATACCTCCTCAGAAACCCAAGGAGGGGTCGCTATGAGTCGGATCTGACTCAATGGCAGCGAGTTTGTTTTTTTGGTTTTGTTTTTTCATGTAGTATATCTGAAAAACATGAGGCCATAATAAAACTGCAACATCCAAGGTTATTATATCTTTGTTGAGCCATGTTCTGTCTGTCTCACAAGAACACTCTTATGTTCTAAGAACTCATTGTTTATGGGTTAAACTTTGTGTATAGCGATATTGAAATGAGAGTGAACTTGCTTATATGGTAGAATATTCCTGAAAAACATGTGATTTCTTTTATTTCCTGACCAAGTCACCAAAAGTGGAATCTTTCTGAGCATTATTATGTGTTAAGTTGCTAGGTGATTCCTATAGATTGTCTCATTTAATTCATACACAGCCCTAATGACATCATTGTGACCTTAACATTTTAGATAATGAAGCTGTGGCTGAAAAAGTTTAAGTAAAACTTTCAGAGGTTTTATTTATTTATTGTCTTTTTTTTCCCCCCATCAAAATCTACATCACTCTCATTCTATGTGGAAAAGTAGGGTATTTGTACTACCATTAAATGACATTTCGAAAAGATTTATATTTGTTTGTTTGCATTAATACTTTACAGACAAGCTGGGGAATTACCTTTGGAGTAAGTTTTCTGGGAGTTTATATTTATGTACACATACCTGTCCTTATCGGAGGAAAGAGAATCATCTGATCACCTTCTTTAACCTTCTCATGTTTGACCACACATTGGTGCTCTTTATTCAATGATTCTCCAGTCACGGTCAGCCAGCTGTATTTCATGAATGTGTCATTAGTCTTTATCGTATCTCCTTGCTGGGATTCCAGAATCCTGTCATTGTTCTTCTCTTTCCAATCTACTTTAATAACATCAGGGAAAAATTTCTCAAGAAGACAAAGATATGTTCCAGCACTGTGATGGTTTATTTCAGCAACTGAAGGAAGGAAAATTGTGGGCTTGGGGGAAAGGTCTGCACTTAAGCTTTTATCTGTAGGGGAAAGTGAAACATCAATTAAAAACTATTATTAGAGAAACACAAATATTGCTTTTTGGAACAATCTATTGTATAGTCACAGGAAGAAAAGTTGCCGTTGATATAGCACCTATTATAGCCTTTCAGCTCTACAACAGGTTTCAAGGTATATGTTACCATCTTTATTTGATAGACAGGGAAACAGGTTCAGGAGGTTAAGTAATGTGCCAAAGTTGCAGCAATTTGAGCCTGAGTTAAAATTTGGCCTTTGTTCTTTCTCTACATGATATTTCATTGCTTCATATCAAGCCTTCACCTTTTTTTTTTTTTTTTAATCTCTATTGTTCTGTCCCGGTGGAGCACGTTTTCAAGGAAGGTAAGGTGGTGTGGGGAGGAGACCAGAGAACTCCGATATTCTCTGGTTCTCTCTGAGAATCTTTGATCCCTTCTAAAGTGCTTCCCTTTCCCATCCAGTGAACTTTGGGACTCTTAGCCTCTTTGACAAATAACTCACATTCTCATATTCTGCAACTGTATGGAGTCACTGACTTTTCATTTAGCTGAGTGGAGTGCACCGGATTTATTTGATTTCCTACATGAATAAAAGGAGTTCTGGTGGTGTAGTGCTAAGGGATTTGACTCCTAACCAGAAGGTTGGTGGTTCAAACCCACCAGCCACTCCACAGAAGGAAGACTGGGCAATCTACTTCCTAAAAGATTTACCTCTTTGGAAACCCAAAGGGGGTCACCATGAGTCAGGATTGACTCAATGTCAGTGAGTTTGTTTTTTGGTTTGTATGAATAAAGGTCAAGAGGAAGCTTTTTGTCATTGATGTCGTTTATTAACAATATACATTAACTTGTTATAGAGGGAATCTACTTCCATGTGACTTACAATCTATGGAGCTGACCTTTTATGTGGATCCCATACCCACCTCTGAAGTTCATGGGGTTCCTCTAGTCAGTTTCTAACTTTATAATCATCTCAGTCTCAATAGGGACTACTCTAGGTTTTTTGATAGTGCAGTATTAAAACTACATCTCCAAATTATTTATGATAGCTTGAATTTAGAAGCAAAATGGAATTTTTTCCAATACTTTTATTAAGCATTTTATTAATTATTCTTATAAATGTTCCTTTATTAAACTCATCAAGTAATTCATTTATCAAAATTTTGTTTCCCCTTAGAAATTGTTCACAAAAAGCACATGTTATTTAGGAATTTTGTTTTAGATTTATTCATAGTAAAGATTATACCAGGAGTTTTTTTTTAATAATTGTTTTAAGATTAATTTACTCCATTAGTGAGCAAGACTATACATATCAGCATATCCATATTTTGACTCTCAGTATCTCTCCCAAAATTTGCATCTACCACATTAGCTACTGAGCTATTCTGAAGTTTCACTGTTTTATATCAACCTGCTGAATAAATGTATGTACAATAGGTGCAAAGTGGAAAGTCATAGCTCCAGGGTTTCTTGTGGACATAAGATCAACATATGCAACAAAATATGATGTTTACAAAGGTATGTCACTTGAAATAATGCAGGAATATTGTTAATCTAAAGACTGAAATTATAAATGATAGAATCCTTTCCAATTTAATTTCCAACTGAAACATGAATACCTAAATATTCTCTTTAGGCTATTATTGTTTAATAATTCAACAAGCAATTATTTAAGGAAATAAAAAGAAGAATTGGATTTCTCATTTGAGAGGAAAACAGAAAAAAAAAAGAAGAATGAGAATTTTTGCCTGCATAGCAAACTCCTGATTTTAATATTAAAACAGTTAGCATATAATGTTGATTTTTCAAAAATCTGGCTCTAAATACAATTAGGTCAAATGTGCTTATTTTAATATCATATACCTAGTTTTGGTGCAAATAGTATATTTATTGATTGATTATAATAGAAAGAGTGTATATTTCTATAAACTTTCACTTTGTCTCCAGTCAACATATTGAAAAATCTAATTTCTATTTCAGGAAACTTTTTTTTTTCTCCATAGGAATATATCTGATTCACTATAATAAAATTGAAGATCAAATAATTAACTTGGGTATTTTCTCTCCTGTAACACACCTTTCATATAATCTTCTCCCTTTGCTTAGTTAGATTCTTTAAGTTTCATTCCTTTCACAGGACAAAAGAACCTTAAATTTCCTTAACTTCCTCACTCAAATAGTTATTTGTACTTGATCATATATGGTTAACCTTCTGATTTGTTCTTACTGTATTATATTTTTATTGTTTTGAAAACATTATCTCAAAACTGTAATTACTAAGAATGCTTATCATTTTCTTTATCTTTTTTGTGACCTGTAGAATGGCAACCAGGTAAAAAAATAATAAGCCTGTCCAATCCATTTATGTATGATAGTTTGCATAATTAGATAATATATTGGAGTTAAATTCTCTGAGTTGCTTGTGTTTATTAATATACAGTAGCATGAATTTTATATAAATGTATCATATATCAATTACATTTTCTGTTAAAAGAATAATTTTTCAAACCTGTATGCTGGAATTTATTTCTCTCAGTGTTATCTATTTTTTTCTTGTCCTTTTCCTTTTATGAAATAGATAATTATAGCTATTTCATATTAAATATACATTTCTGGTATATGACAAGTTTCTAATTATATCATAGTGATTGAATACCTTGATCTTACCTATATGAATTTAAATAAACTTTTTGCTGATGAATATGACCACGAAGTTTAAATTTGTTGGAGATAAATTTTAGAACCAGTAAACATTGGTGTCAGGGTTAACATCAATTAGGGTAAAGGATTAAAATTTAAAGCACTTAGGACAACAAAAAATGAAAACAAACACATCTTAATCTCATCTTTCTTACCAAATGAGGAAAAAGTCTATGAAGAGAAAATATCTCTAAAGGCAAATTTTTCTATGAGGGGACTGTAAAATAACTTTACGCTTGAGTAGTTATAAGTAAAACTGGTTCCTATGGAAGTGTTGTTGACTGTAAACAACTCTCTAAACTGGATACAATTCTCCCATTATGATTGAATCAGGGCAACATTTATCTGGCACCTACCATGCATTGAATAATGTGTCACACACTTTATTCATAATATCTCATTCAATTGTCATACAACCATGCAGGATACATACTGTTATCCCATTTTATGGATTAAGAAACTGAGGGCAGTGCATAATTACCCGAGTTCACATAAGCAGTAAGTGTAGAGTCAGAACCCCAATTAGTCTGATACCAAACCCCAGGGTCTTTCCAAATACCATTTGACCATCAGAAAAAGAAAGGTGTCAAACTTACCTGAACTAATAAACTTTGTCCTAGGGTCAAACACTTTATAAAGATATAATTACATACATTATATATAAACACTTTCTAAAACCCAGTATATATACAAAGCCAAATCTTATTACAATATTTGCTCAACATTGTCAATGCTATCCTGTAATGTGTGGATTTGTTTAAAGGTTTCTCCTAGATTTCTACCCCATCACATTCCTTTACCATTTTACTAAACATTGTCACTATTACTCCAAACAAATATATTTTTTTTTATCTCCTCCTCTTTTACCTTGAAAAAGGTACATTCTTTCAATACCTACCTGTGACAATAAGTTTTGTTCCACCACCAAAGATCTTCGTATAATAGTCACACGGTGATTCAACCTGTATCAAAAACTTTGGACTATTTTACCTTCTCTCAGTTCTTCATCTTCTAGTGGAAATGTGGTAGTTTATGTTTAAGAGACTAGAATTCCTGTCCTCATTCATTTTGCTAATAAATCCTGAGGCTAAGCAAATTGAGTAACTTAGTTTTGGTGTGTAATTGATCTGAAAATGATGATGTTAGTGTAAATCAATTGAACATCACTACCAAGCCAGTACCAATGCAAGGTCAAAATGAAACAAGATGTGAAAAAACTGAAAACAAAAATCCAACTGAAACATGAATGCCTAACTAATATTCTCTTTAGGCTACATGTATGTTTGTTTAATAATTCAACAGGCAATTTATTAAAGAAATAAAAAGAAAAATTGGATTTCTCATTTAAGAAGGAAAAAAAAAAAAGAAGATTGAGAATTTTTGCCTGTGTAGCAAACTCCTGATTTTCATATTAAAACAGTAAGCATATAATGTTGCTTAGTTTATCATTATTATAATTTATAGTTATTTTGTATCATTTATCATTATCATCCTTGTTAACAATACGTCAACTATGATTGTGTGCTCCAAACATTTGCTATATCATGACTTGTTAATTTCATGGGATCAAACCTTGCCCTTACTGATAGAATGCCAGCATATGTGTTGTAATTAGATTCATGGAAATTAAGCATGAGGAGTAGTTCATTTGTTTCCATTCTACCTGTTAATGTCCAAACTTTTCAAAACCATTGTTGCAGGAAACGTTCCTTTCACACACCCAAGCTTTAATATGTAACATTTGTCTTATCTACAGCATACAAGTGTTGAGAAAATTAAAGGGAAAGTTGGCTAAAGTCGAATATATGCCGTCAGTACATGGAAATGCTTCACTTGTATTGTCCAGAACATATGGCTTTTACTTCAATCAACAACACAATACATTTGCACTCCACACTTTCACCAGAAATTTCAGCTTCAAAATGAGAAATGGCAGGTTAGCCGGGTCTTCAAATAAATCTTCCTATCATCATGTTAAATTGCTAAAATGTTGCCAGGCTGACTGTATCTGCTAAGGGTCACCATCTGCGAATTACACTATTTGTTTTTCACATAGCATTGTTGCAGTAATAACATAAAAAGAATTTGGATAAAGGCCATTTTTTCCATTTTATAATGTGAATGAGAAGGTGATGTCCACTTTTGTACTTCAGTTTCTTCATAAAGGACTCCTTTAATGAAGTCCTTTCCTAATTTTACAGCAAGAGTAATACATTATGGGATCTCTGGTAGTGTAGTGCCCAAGGCACTTGACAGCTAACCAGAAGGCTGATGGTTCAAACCCATCAGCCACTCCTCGGAAGGAAGGTTGTGCAATCTACTTCCATAGTGATACCGCCTCGGAAACCAAGGAGGGGTCGCTATCAGCCAGGTCCGACTCCATGGCACATAACAACAACAACAGCAATACATTATATTTGAAAAATGGGCATGCTTCATTTTATGAGTTAATAAAACATACATACTCCACTATGTTTTTCCCTTACTGTTGAGCATTCAATTTTGCCATGTGCTTTTTACTAATATTCATAAGCCTTTTCTCTTCTCCTTTCTTTAATGTTATGATCTTCTGGGAGCTCTGGTGGCATAGTGCCTAAGACATTTGACTGCTAACCAGAAGACTGGAGGATCAAACCCACCAGCCACTCCTCAAAAGGAAGGTTAGGCAATCTACTTGTGTAGAGGTACTGCCTCAGAAATCCAAGGAGGGGTCACTATGAGTGGCAATTGACTCAATGGAAGTGAGTTTTTTTTTTTTTTTTCCCATTAATTTTCTGTTTTCATTTAATGTCTTACTCTACCTGGTATGTAATTTTAGTTCTTCTCCAATAGATTTTGGAAATAGGTTATCACTGTAGAGTTTATGCACTAAACCTTGGCTGTCTTTCTGCACAGAGACTGATTAGAGTAAGATCTAACTCAACTATAAAAGGAGGGATCGGTGAGTATGGTTGCAAATCTTAGCTCTGTTACATAAACACAAGACATACAGAATTCAGGCGTACTGTATGTGCCAGATTATAAGGTAAGGCTTTCTCTCCCAAAATTATCCTTCCCCAAACAGGGTCGAAGGAGGGAGTCCTTATATCTGTCTTTGTGCAACCTCTCACATTAGTACATGTTCTTCTAATACTCTACTTCAATCAAAAACTTCTATACCAGCCTGAAAAGAACTCAATTAATGCTAATTGTGGAGATGACACTGGTAAAAGAAAGAACAAAGAAATTTAATATGGATTTGGTTAATTATTACTTGAGGCTAAAATCTCAATGGTTTATGATTATAAATACTGTCCTATTATTTTGTGAGTGGACAATTATTTCTTAGAATAAAATACCCAATGACAATATCATGTGAATGATTCCAAAACAAACACTCAGACTCTAGGAAAACTTAGGAAGTTGCTCTAAGAGAGATGTTTCAGATGCATGTGAGGAGGTTGAACCAAATTTTTAATAACTGTGAGGTCAAAAAATAACAACAGCAGTATTTCTCAATTGATATTTGTATTGATGTGATTTTTAACTTTGTAAGTATAATCCAATTCAGAAATTATATAAGACCTTAAACGGTTTTATCTATGTCCCTGTAAGTTTATATACTTAAGCTGAAAAAAATCCTTTTTTTCACTCGCAAATATTTCTATTGGAAAACGAAGGATCACCTTTTGTTCAGAAAGTTGATATTTGAGATCATACATAACACATTCGAATTGTTTTTTAAGAAGTAGGTAACAAGTCTTAGACACCGAAAACATCTTACAAACATTGACCATTTGTTTTTATGTGAACTGTAGACTTGTTGTTGTTGTTGTTGTGTGCCGTCGAGTCGGCCCCGACTCATAGCGACCCCTCCTTGGGTTTCCGAGGCAGTATCACTACGGAAGTAGGATTGCCCAACCTTCCTTCCGAGGAGTGGCTGGTGGGTTTGAACCGCCAGCCTTCTGGTTAGCAGTCAAGTGCTTTAGCCACTATGCTACCAGAGCTAGACTAGATGGGGGCTAATACATTTATCTGTACTCCTGAGTTCAGAAAGAACTCCAAAAGATAGTAGCTTACAAGTTGGAGAAGGAATTGATATTTTTATTCCTACCAAATGCCAGCCATTATAATTGGTAATTCTCACATTTGATTTCATTTAATTCTCACGACATCCACTTCTTATAGATAATCATCATTATCTTCATTTTACAGATCAGATTGAACTCAGTAGTTCAAAACTTGTTCAGTCACTGAACAATGCTAAGGACATTTGGAAAAGGTATTCACGAAGCAGTATAAAGTAAAAAAAAAACATATAGTATTATGTATCTAGTATGAACCAAATTTTTAAAATAAAAAATAAAATATGTATAGATAAATAGATCAGATGGAAATGTATCAAAATGTTATAAATGATAAATGTCAAGGTAAAATATTTTTTATTTTTTTGTATTTTTCATTAATGAGCACAAATTAGATTTATAATTTTCATAAAGGAATAACCAGTGAGTCAAAATTTTCTTGGTAAAATGGCTACACAAGAAGTGGTATACCCAGAAGTCATATTCCAGAATCCTCTGCCCCACACATTCCCAAAAACATTTCTCAGGGACACTAGTGATTATATCTGTGCCACCATTATTTAATTTGATTGCTACAATTCATACTTAGTACATAATCAATTAGAAAAAAGAGGGCTAGAAAGTTGCTTTTTAGTTTATAAATTTGTTTGTTTCAATATTTATGTAAATATCTAAAAATTGCCCTTGCTAACATTAAATAAAAATGAAGCTCAAACCAAATCACATTAGATATGAATATAAATGAGAATGCAGGTTGTGACTCCACTCAGCCTGAAAAGCTTGGATTATATCTATTCTCCTTTTACATCTCATACATTGGAGAGTCTCATTTTATCTTTATAATTTTGCTTGAATCTTGTAAGGAGACTCCATGAAAGATTTTTCATTTATAAAGTCAGTTCTTTGGCAGGGATTTAATAAAATTTAAATTGATAATTGCATTAATTTTCTAAGAGAAATAATCATGGGAATCATATACTTAAGTACTTAATAAATGCATATTTAATAAGAGGTATAGGAACTTTGTGATTTATATATATGGAGGGTGGATACCATATATCCACCCTTTGGAAGAGATTCCAAAGTTAACTTCTTTATAGTACCCCAGATGAGCTAGTACAGATTATGAATACTCAATGAGTTATTTTTTGTTGAAAACCTGCTTTTTTTTTTTTTTCGGAAAACTCCTTTACAGTTTCCAGAACATTGAATTAAAATCCTGTGCTCCTCATAAGAGATTCTCGTTCTGTTAGTATTTCTTCAGTTGTCGCATCATGAACTGAGAGGCAGCTCTGAATTATGGTTAGGTGATGTAATGCAACTGTGATTCTTTAGCCAGCTTCAACATTTCTAGCACCACATTGCCAATACAGAAAGAAAACTGAGTGCAATGGTGTCAAAATGATTTGTCACTTTGTAGAAATACTCTAAGAATCATATTTTGACTATTTAACACATGTATTCAATATGACTTTCATGATCTTTGTCTGGAGGTGATAATTTTAGTGCTTAGATTAGACGTAGAAGCATTGTTTTCACACATAAGTAACAACACAAATGTTGAGGTGTTATTAACTAAATAATAAACTAAAGAATCCACTTAAAAGGTGGAAGATAAAACAGAAGAAGATAAAATATGAAGTGATGTTTATAATATTATTTGATGGTTAATATCATGAGCTTTGGAGTACAGAAATCTAGATTGCAATCTAAATTTTGCCACAGTAATTAGTCATGTGACTTTATGCAAGTAGCAAGTAGCAAATAACTGAACTTCTCTAAACTTCAGTTTCCTCATCTGTAAAATGAGGATAAAAGTATCTCTTACGTAGGGGTTGTTGAGGATTGAGATAAGGCACCGATAGTTTTAGCATGTGATCTGGTCCTCAATAAATATGAGCTAATTTTACTATTCATTTTAGTGGGATGGTATTGGGCCATTTCCATCAAAATTTCCCACCAAATACAACATATGTATTTTATAAGCAATAAGTATGATAGAGATTAAGAAAGGGAAAGAGCTTCCTATGACTCTACCAGCTACAGACCAAAGAACCTGGGACCCAGTCAAGTCAGTAGCTAGAAACTCATTGACTGGACTGAAAGGTTTTTTGGGCTGGAAATGTGTCTTTTTCACCCTTTTATTTCCAGTATTCAGGCCAGAAACAGTATAGATGTTTATTGAAAGAATGAGCAAATGAGGATGTGAAAACCATGACCACTCTTTTCATGGACTTAATGCTGAAATGGTTCATATTCCACTAAACTGGCTCATATAACACATCACAACAGTATTTTTGACTGATTTCAGTCTGCCTTCTAAGAAACTAGGGTAATAAGAAGTAGAATGTATTTATGTTCTATTTATTCTAACAATTATTTTTTATTCATTGCTGTTAGGGGTGAACTCAAAATCAATAATACAGGTTTTGCAGGTTATTAGGAGGAAGGAGTTCTATGTTTTATCCCAAAATATAGGGGTAATTAATAATTTTTTATGTCTCTCCTTTAAAAAGTCTCCTATGAGTAAAGCATTTTAAACCAGTAATTTACACCCATGCCTTACAGACATGGCCCTTGAGTATTTTAATTTCTAGCCTGAGTATCTCTTTTCTGTATATGATAAAAGTACAATTTCAATCTGCCTACAAAGAGGGAAGGAAATAAACTATTTGCAAATCAGATTTTTTTCCATATGTAGTAACTAGCAGCTGCAAAATTACTGTTCATATACCAAGGCCAAGAACGTGGCAGTAAGATCAGAATTGATTCTAACTTATTATTTCCAAGAAAGCATCTATCAGTTTTTCATAGCCAGAGTAAAAAGAAAAAAGAAAAAAAAAAGTTACTTACCGAAGGGAGTTACTATGAGCTTTGTCCCCTCTCCAAATATCTTGATCCATCCTGTGGTATCACACTGGTTATAGCTTCTACAAAAAATCTTAGCCTTCTTCTACTATTCATGATGTGACTAGCAGTTTAAAATTTTGTAATGGCAATTTGATCTTCTGGGTTCACTGGGGAATATTTTAATATAAGTTTTGTGATATCTGTTATTTCGTAACTTTTTCTCAAATAAACTGACCCAAATACATTTTCCACTGAAGCAGTCATCATTGAAAAGTTCTTGGCAGAAAGTGAAAAGGGTAAGAATTTAAGAAGAGAGCAGGCCCAACAGACCAAGTAATTACTTTTGTAAGTTAGAGAACTTAAAAAATTCAGAAATTAAGAGTTTTTTTTTTTTTTTTTTCCAATTTCCAGGTGCATAATGATGTTGGAAACTGCTCAGAGATAACATCAAAAGAAGGGCCCTTCTGTTCTCACAAATACCAGACTGCTCTGTTGACTATTTAGGAATGGATTTCTGAAGGGAGGAAGGTCTTCAGTAACTGAAAATGCAAATATACCTACAAAAATGTGCTTGAGAAAACTGAACAAGGCTCTCAATTTTCAATAAAGCCACTTTCACCATTTGCCAACACAAACCTCTACCAGGAAAATGACAAATAATAAGTTGTGGGGTGACTATCTTCCTTAGAATAACAAAATTCTATCTACTATGAAATAATGAATTCCTTGATTAAGCTAGAAACCTAGGGAGAGGGGATCCCGTTCTTCTATAGGTTAAAAAAATGAGCCTCTTGAAGGCTGGTCTGCAATCTTCTGTCACTCACCTGAAGCAAGAGATAATCCAATAGCAGGTATCTGCTGAATGTTCTCCTGAGTACAGATGAATTGCCTGCCTTTACGGAGTCAGAAATGACAGGTCTAATACTCCCCATAGCCACCCAAATCCATCTTGTCCTTAAGCCCCATGAGTAGATATTATCTGTCTCCAGGGATGAAGGTATGTATATGGTCACCCTGGTGACTCCCCAGTCACAATGACCTACAGCCACCAACCCAATTAGAGAGGACAAGAGGGCTGAATGAAAATTATGTTTGGAGAGGATTTTTTTCCCCTACCCATCCCCCCATCTCTGGTAACCAACAAAGAAATTTCCTTCCATACATAAACCTTTCCTTGACTTTTAACAATAGTGGACTAATAAAATATTGTATTTCTGTGATTGACTTTCACTCAGCATAATGTCTTCCAAGCTCACCCACATTATACAGTGTTTCATGGATTCTACATTATTCATTTGGGTTGCATAGTATTCTGCTGTGTGTATTTTCCATAATTTGGTTATCCATTCCTCCATTGATGGACACTTAGATTGTTTCCATCTGTTTGCTACTGTGAATGAACATGATGAACATGAGTGGATTTTTTTTTAACTGAAAAATCCAAATTGTTATTACTGAGCTGTTAAATACTCTGCATCTATTGGAGTGAATGATGCCCATTCAATCTCTTTCTGACAGCTTATCCTCTGTTTTCCCTTATTCCAAGACTATGAGGAGAATTATCAGGACCCTTAAGAGTTGTCTGTGTTTCGGAGAATTCAAAATGGAGTCTCGTCAGTAATCACCACACTATTTCCTTCCAGCATCTCAGTGCTTGAAAAACTACATACAGCAGTTTGAATTAGGGATTTTGGTGCTCTGAACAGCTCACTGAATCAGAGTGCACCAAACACAGAAGAGTAGAATTAGAGGAAACGTACAGGGAAAGAATTTAAGGAAGATCTACTCGGCAGAGGGCAGACAGGCAGCAGAGAGAGGCCATTGGAAACTTCCCTGGGGCAGTCACTGACTGGCGGATAAGGCAGGCCACCTAAGATCTCTGTGGGCCAAGGAAGAAGACACGCTATATCAGCATACCAGTGACTGCATCAACATCCCAGCAAACACCCCAAGGATCTACCTTCAGCACCTGATTTTATCAGTAACTTGGGTCAGCTAGGTACAAATGGGCACACGCAGCACCACTGAAACCCAAGCAGAGAGTTCACTGGTGCTCCAGGAGAGTGAGCTCACTCCCAGCTCAGCGGGTCACTGAGTGGGCTTGGGTCAGTTTGGGAGGCATTGAGAGGTCTGTGCTTGTCTTTGTCACTGATATCGGGACCACAGATTACTAGCAGGCACAGTCCCGACTCCAGACCAAA